CAATTCTCTATTTATCTCCAGGCACAACCATTTAAAGATCGATCCATTTAAAATCCTAATTAAGGACGAATGACAACTTAACGGACTGCAATATACATCTGATGCGGCAAATCCTTAAAGTACCCCTCCCCATAACCATTGCATTGCATTTTTGTCCACGCACGATCGTTTTAGAATACCAAACGCCCCCCGTAAAATCTCTGCGTTCGGATACCTAGTTTTTCCTCGAGTATGTCTATGTGAGCTTCCAGTTGAATTATTTTTTTTATTTCCATAGTCTTCTGTTCAAATTTTTCAAGTGGAGTTTAATGGAATGTATAGTCATGTGGTGCGTGGCCCTCAATCCGGGCTGTCGCATCTGGGACGTTCTGGTCAAAACACAAAAAAGATACGGGCACATGAGTGAAACTGCGCACTTGGTCAGCTGTTGCTGTTACTGCACAATTTCGTATTTTCAAGTTGTGAATGATGAGACAAACCAAAACTATGTTGGCAAATATGTTCCATTATATTTGTACTGGGCATCATTCCCAAAATATGCTGGGCTCCTGGCAGAATTAACGTTGCTAACTATTTTGGCTGACTGTCAGAAGCTGAGCCAATCCTACCTTTTCTGCTTTCACACACCATTGGTAAACTATTCAGGAGTTTAAAGTTTCCGACCTAGAAAATCTAGCATAATAAAATCTCTTCTTTCATTCACGTTCCTTTAGATAGGCAATAATAACTATTACTTTTGAAGCCCGACTTTGAGAATGGACTCTGCAAACCTTTAAATACTGTCTATTGATCATCACCTTGGGGGTGTCAAAGATAAAGGAGCCCAACACGCTGATGGTATCTCTCATTGAATAATTTCAATCTATACAAATCTCAGATCACCAAATAAAATAAATGCTTAATTAAGATTCTTTCATAAAAGGTATGATAATTTTTAATTGGAAGTAAATCGTAATAACATCAACTGGTATCATTCAAATATGTTCGTCCAAAACGGGGATTTAGTAAGGGCATAATCATTGTATTCAGGTTCATTGGCATCCACTAAACGTGGTCTCATGACTGTCCCTGGAAATATAGGAGGCAGCTTGGGGCCTCCTGTGACTGGGGGAGGACTAAGGAGACTTCTAGTAGACGGCTCGCCTGCCTCAAATGTTCCAGCTGCACGTTCAACCATCTTATTCTGCGAAGGCGTGCTTAACTATTCGGCGGTTTGTGAGTTCCTCGGAATCTGCGCAGGGTGTGCTGACGACTCCTGGAGTAAGCTGTTGTTTTTCTTAACAGGAGTGATATTTACGGGCAACGTAATGGTAGTTAATGTGCTATGTTGTCCTTCCTTAGTGGAGTTTTCACCTTCCAAAGTGCCAGCTACTTCAGACACCGCCCAGCCTGTTTGGTATGACACCGTAATCGCTGGGACAGGAGTTGTTTGGCCAACTTCTGCAGGACTGGGCTCACTAAATGCTGGGGAGGCAGAAGCTCTGGAGGGGTTTGGAGCTGCAGTTGGTGCGTCCAATTCCTTCTGAGTAGAGGTAGTCATTTGGCTAGATACAGTCAAGTCAACATTTGGGGTAGTGAAGTCATCGAATGATTTCTTTAGTCTGTTGGTTTGACGCCCAACCGTCGGCTCCGCAATATCAGCCGATGCAACGTCTGTAGTTGTAGTTTTCTCTTTCAGCATGTTAATATTGGTCTCCTTCACAGTCGATGTTAAAGTAAATGTAGCTGAGTTTATGGGCTGAGTCACCTCTCCGACGGCTCCTGTCACTTTGGAGTTTGTGGAAAGAGGAGTTGCAGGCGACGTAATTGTGCCAAGGTCAGAGCTGCCACCTGGCATCCCAGTTGACCAGCTGATGTGTCCAACATCTCCAGGCAAGTCCGCCAGCCTAGAGGGAGCATCAACCATAGTTGATCTCACCTGCCCAGGCACTGAGGAAGTCAGCGTCACAGGTGCACGCGATGTAATGGTTGCTGTAATCCTAATGTCGGCCGCTTTCGCCATGGCTAATGTGGTAGCTTTCAATGCGAGTGTGGAGGATTCGACTGCGCTTCCACTTCTGGTATATGCAGCTGATGAGAGAGGCATAGTGCTCGTCACCATCGTGGCAGGATGTACATTTGAGACTCCAAAAGTGCCTTCAACTATCGGGGTCGAGCCAACCGTGGATCGACTTGACATCTCACCGGTTGTCGACAGCAACATCTCTGACGTTGTCATCATCGTTTCGGAATTTTGAAGCGGGTTACTTGTACTGCTTGGAGACGGCAAAAGCCCCTCAGAAGATGTTCCGGACGCACTTGTCAAATCGGCCTCCTTGATACCTACGTTGCTGGGGTCTTCTAAATCTGACTTTATAGTGTTAGTGACTGTGGAGTCTGTAGATTTGGCATGCCCCAGAGCGGAGCCGGCTGCCGTGATCACACTATCTGTAGCATCAGTGACTGAAAGTGTTGGTGCTTGCGAAGGCTCAGTACAGACCGGAGCGCTTGAAGATCTTATTGACTTGATATTTGCGGTTTCTGCAGAAGTAAAAGTAGACGAATGCAGG